ATAAAGGCTCATATTAAGACGACAGATAACCTAAGATCAACCTGGTACGAGTGTGAAACTTTTATAATCTATACATGATATAGGTAAGTCCAAACTAATTTGTCTCACATGTTACCAGCCACATCTACGGTTTAAAGATATTGAGTTCTGGTACTACGATTGCATTGTGAAAAAAAAACGGTGTGGAATCGAACAGAAAAAGTTGAACATGTAGCATATTATTGGTGGGTACTGAAAGGTTCTGGAATCATCAAAATGTTAATTAATTTGGCCCAGTCTTGGTAAAAGTAACAAGCACCGAACATAGAAAGATGTATATATGGTCCTCATTTTTAAGTTGTTACTTGTCATATTTAGAATATGAAAGCATTTGAAGAGCCATGCTTTTCAGTGAACATACTTTCCCTGATGATCTTCCACAATTTCGTAATAACAATGAAAACGCTCAATAATTATTTTCACCTCTCCCAAGAACTCAACCTTTTCTCTAAATAAAGTATTCATAACTCATAATTTATTCATCCCTACTATACATCTAAGATCAGAAATGACACATTTTTTTTCTTCAACGTTTAAGGCCTATTTATATAATCATATATTATATAAGCAGGGGTGACAGTGAGCACTAAAAAGAATAGGTTTTTTTGTTTCCCCTCAACCACGCCCCCCTTGAGTAAAAAAAAAAGAGAGGATTCGCGGGGGAAAAAATGGCATCTAATAACATTCCCCCCTTTCGAGTAAGAAAATTGGAGAAAAAAATAGATCAAAATAGGGAAGAATAGAAAAAAATAAGCTTGAAATCGGGAAAATCAGAATAAAATAGGGAAGAAAAAAAAAATTGGTAAAAAAAAAAAAATAGGGAAAAATAAAAAAAATCGGGAAACCGATTTAAATCGGGTTTTTATCATGCCTGACTTTCATCGACAGTGGGAAGAAGACTTTATTATACAGTATCATTAAACCCAGCGACATATTCTCTGGATGAAATTCATGGGTAGCAACAGCATAACAAATGCTTAGTGACAGCATGGACCTACTTCGTAGCAGGTCGATGGTGACAGCATATTTTTGCCGATTTCCATGCGTCTCTTCGTAATGAGCAAGTCTATATACAAAATAATTCATGTGCCCGATAGTTTATCACCGAATCGGCATGGTTGTTGCTTAGCAACCAAACGCACACCTGAGCAAAGTTTATATCTGAAAAATGAATTATATTAGATTATCTTTTAACACAGCCAAGCCATTATTTCAAATATATAGCACACATTCCACTGGATACAAGGTGTTTTGAGACTGGGTCAGCATGGTAGGAAATATTTCCAAGTTTCCAAGCAATTGATTTCATAATAGACATGCCCTCAAAATCTTTTTGATTTTTTTATCAACCCCCCCCCCCTTCCACAGGGTTCTTTATTTTCAAAACAAATTCCATCATAAGTATATCCATAAATAAGGCCAAATAAAAAAAAACATGTTTAGCGTCCTGTTTTTTCGAAAAATAGGAAGGACATTTTTTTTTTTTTTTTTTTTAATCAGAAATAGATCCATTTTAGCAGTGTTTTTCATGTTGTTTTTTCTTTTTCTTTTTTTAAATAAAAAAAAAAATAAAAAAATTCAAAAAAAAAAAAATAAATAAATAAATCAACAAAAAAAATCAACAAAAAAAGGGCCTCCTCCTTCCTATATTTCGAAAAAACAGGACGCTAAACATGTTTTTTTTATTTTTTTATTATAGAGCAGTCGAAATGCAGAAGGATATGTACATGTGTTTTATTGATTGTTCAAAGGCTTTTGATAAAGTAAAACATTCAGAACTTTTTGAAGATCTGAAAAATCTAGATATATATAGGAAAGATCTAAAACTGCTACAAAGTCTATAATATGACAAAACGAAGATTTATAAATCATTTTAGATGGTAACTTTCTGTGAAATTTGAGCTATAGAATTTTTTTGAACGTCATTAGCGTATAAAGGTTTTTTTCATAATAACGGTAATGAAGGCTTCATAGTTTTATACATCTGTACATTAAAATGTTTTATTATCGCTCGCAATTTAGGTGATGAAACTTTTTTTTTTCCAGACCCACTTTGATTTTGTCCGAAGAATGAGAAGAAGAAGAGGCCCATCGATGCTGGTGATAAAGAACAGTGGGTGTATATCTCGATTGGTCAGGTGTCAGATTGATTGCTCGAGAAAAGGGCATGAACAGATTCCACACAGGAACACCATTTCTGTAAAATCTATGGAAATAGAAGGAGAGCGCGAAATTCAAGATAACTGAAATTTGTTTTCCATTGGTTTTACATACAATTCATTGACAAAAAATGATACCTTTAAAATGCAGTGCCCCAAATCCCCATTGGACTCTAGCAAGGCTTTTTACATTACCCAGGTTGTAATTGACGCAGTATAACGTCAACACTACATGTATTTGTCATTGACGTTCCCCTTCTCTGAAGGAACAAAAGGTGATTGGATAGGTTGGATGAAGAGGCATTGGTTTAGCGGATTATGCTTTACCTGGACTCGGTATACGAACCGGTATTTCTTTGTTGTTAAACCCATGGTCTACTCACGATATTTTACCCAAAAAACAAAACAAAAAGAGAAGAAAATGTGGATTGTTCTAGTTACTAAGCCTATTAGTATTCACTCTAATGAATATATTCAATTAAAACAACGTGCATCTATATCATGTTAGACCACAACTTGCATTAATGCCCACTCTGCATACGGGACGTCGTTTGCGCCAATGACGGTGCGGTTTTTGAATCGCAATACGAGTGATATCGGACTAAAATTGAATCCAAAATAAAAAATGAGAACCTTGCGTCACAATTACTGGCTAACTGTTATAATATATACGTGATTCAATAGGTATATACTGACGCAATCGAATAGACGTCTCGTGTGCGACAGGCATTTATGATACACGTTTCTCACTTTTCGGTCCTTGTCTTTTGCGTCAAGTTCAGCGATGCGTTCCTCCTGAAAAAGCATCTTGAAGCAATGTTACCCACACTCCCCAAAACATTCTTCCATGATTTGATAAGGGTCACCATCGTGAAAGGCTGACGCTGTTGATATTTCTTTTTAGCGCAATCACTGTATTGATCAATGCAAATCTGATGTTTTAGAACAGTAATGTAGACATTCACGATGTCAATGACAGATGAACTTACTGTCAAAGAAATAGAAAGTGAAGTGATAAAAGTTCATAACGCTGACAGACAAACATAACAAAACTGGAATTGACTAACGGGGGATTTCAGTAGAAGCTGAGTATCGGGTGAGGGGGGGGGGTGAGTCTGGAGCATGCTCCACAGGATTTTTGAAATAAATATTTAAGTATTTTTAATGCCACCTAGGGGCACTCAATCCTATTTTCTCGTCAAAAAGTTAGCCTACAGAGTACATTAATTTTTCTGGGTATGTAAATAGGTGGTGAGGAGGGGGTCGTACGCTGCCGCCCTATCCTGGATACGCCGCTGTAGACATGACGATTGTTATGACACCGTTTCCTGATCGTTTCTGTCAAAACGGAACAAATCGAAAACATTGATCGCATTAAACAAACGGAATCAGCTCATCATCAATCCTTTATAATACAAAGCGTTACCTAGCCAATCAAAACATTCGTTGAGAGGATGTAGTGGTTTTAGAAGGACATGACTGGTATGATGAAATATCAACTAAGTGGGCTGTTACGATTGGGCAATCATTTCAACTTTTAACTTTAACAACTTTTCAAGATTTGGGGTGCATACTTTTCAAACCTATTGTTTACAACTTGGACTTCTGGGCTTATTTTCATAGAACCTTTAAAAGCCTTGTTATCAAGTAATGTTTATGAATATGCATCCAGGTGTTCAGTCATTTAAAAATGAATCCCAATCCCACATCTCAAGGTTCCTAACAATGCATCGACTATGTAATATCAGGCGACTGAGCTGTCCTGACAGAACATCAGTCGCACAGGCACAGCTTGATGTGACAATGCCTAAAGGTCCTACTTTTTCGGGATCTAAGCTGAATAGTCTTCTGCAATCTATCAGGAGTGCTAAGTCTCTGTCAGCTTCATGTTTATTTCATGTGACTTACCTGTTCCCAGCTTTCATCTCACGATAATAATGTAAGAATAGTGAGAAATCAATCCATCGACGCACTGACTGAGAATGTTGAGTTTCGGTAGATATTGAGCGCCATGAGCTTCCAACAGTAGCGGATACTGGCGCTCTAAAAGAAGAAATCATGAACAACCATCATCGTGTACATCCACCATTCTCTACACGCACACACACACACACACACACACACACACACCACACACACACACACACACCCAAACACGCACGATTGCGACACAAGCGCACACGCACAAACGTAAACACCCACAATACACTCACCCAACATACTCACAAACTCATACACAAAGATCGTATAAACAAATTTTTATTTTAAATTTCACCTTAAGATTTTGCTTCTGAGGCCGCCATCCTAGTCAAGCATCGCTTACGATTGCGGTCTCCTGCACTTTTTCCACAGATAGTTTGGAAAATTCTTTAGATTTATAATATTTATGTTATAGAAATATTAAGTTTCGTTATGATATGTATATATGTAAATAACTTTTTGACACAAATTTATTATTATTTGCATATTTTGTATTATACCTTTCGTGTATAAGTTCTTTGCTATTCAATTGTTATACTTGGAAAAATGCAGAATTAAAATCAAATCAAAATCATCGTCATCATCATCATCAGCATCATTATCATTGTCAGTCATAATCATCATCTTCATTATCATGATCATAATCAGCATCAGCAGCAGTATCATCTTCAACTTAATCACCATCGTTATTATCATCGTTACCATAACCATTATTATCATAATCACCTTCTTCTTCATCATCATCATCTTCATCTCCTTGTGGTATTTTTTCTATAAGCATCACAGAACATTGATAGAGACAAAACACCTATTTAGTACCTATTAGCTTATGTCAGTCGGAATAGTCCGTCACAGAGATTACAGCCACACTTATTCAAGTCGAAGTGATAACTCGCAATTTATCTCACAAAATGATGTCATTAACTTGCCGTGCCGCTGCTATATAGAATCAGTAATTTAAATTTAAACAAATATATAAGGCTAGAACCATTTTGTCATGTTCACAATGATGGCCGAGGTATACAACACATTCTAAGATATTTTTTTTTTCATCATGAATTAAACCGCCTACATAATAGTATTCAGAATTTAAAACAATGTAGAAAATTATGAATACAAGTACCTTCATGACATGAAAGAAAGAGAAAAATCAATCATTTCAGAAACTAGGAACAAGTTGCGTATTAAAGTACTTAAAGTAAACTCTTTTTTTCATTTCTTAATTTGAAATCCAAATTTCCTGAGAACTTTTGAAGCACAGTCATGTGAACTAATATATACGATTGGAAATTGTATCACTTAATAGCAGGCTTATATACGTATATACTTCTGAAACGTCGGAGAGCGAAAGGGAACATTCATGCCAATATCAGGTTGCATTTTAAGAACATATATATTTTTATTTCCAATTTACATCACCTTTTTGTTGTTAGTAAAACTTAATAAGGCATACAAACAAAACTATCTATACAATGACCGTGTGTTTTTTAATGAATAGGCTACATGATTATTATGACCTCACATATACACTGCCATCGTTTCATATCATGAGGACATCTTAGCAATGAGATTCGTGTGTGCATGTGGATATTATAGTACGATCTTTCTTTTTTGCGGGAGTTGGGCACTTAATAATGTTAATGATGGTGTATAACTTGTCATGTATATTCGCACAATTATTATTGAAGGCAATAACAAATATGGTAGCCCATAAAATTGTTGTGTTTATAATTATGAAAGAGCCATGGCATTCCAAGACCATGGTCCTGTTTTCATGATTTTATCAGACAGTCGAATCTTATCAAACTGGGTTTCACAGGACGAAGATTGTGTTGAACATCAAATTTAAAAAAGCTATTATATAAGGCATTCTAAGATTAATTATGTATTCATTATTTCTTTTAAAATATAAAGATGGCCTTAAAATGAGGCATTCCAAGACTATTTTCCACATTTTTTTAAATCTAACAATCCAAAATAAAAAACGGGCTTTAGAGAACGACGGCCATGTTGGACATCATGCCGTCTCTTCCGACCTCGACTGGCTTATCTCTCCCAGCAGTTTTTGCCCTTTCCATAGCCGCACTTTTGGCAGAGGGTATTTTCATGTGGTGGTCGTCTAGGACGCCCACGACGTCCGCTGTCATCGACTAAAGTGCTGTCGTTTGAATTCCGATCTCGGAGTATTTCTCCCTGCAAAAAGATCATAATTAAGTGATTTTGTGACGGTAAGTAAAAAACGTTTATGATCATTATTATTATTAATGCTATTATTCTTATTATCATTATTATTACGATTATCATTATTATTATTATATTGTGTACATATTATATGTATTTTTTTTTACAAATTCATTTTTTTCTCAAAGCTTTCCTTGTACCATAAGTTATGTAATATGTATACTCTAATGTCAGGAGTCGAAATCCACTAATAGGGAGAGTCATTATTAGGGATCACTAATTTATTTGGAGTGAAAAATCCACTCTGAAAATAGTGGAATCCAATCTCAAAAGAGTAATTCAACAAGTACTTCGGAGTGTCTTCCGATGTACTTGGATTGCCTTCCTGATTAAGCTCGTGTATTACATGACTTATTACAGTCTTAATGACCACTCGTATAAGAAGACCACCTGTCTATGTAACGACCACATTTTCGCTTCCGTTATATACGATGCTTCTCATTGAAAAAAAAATGTTCATGTAGTTCTGTGTTTAAGCACCACCTCTCCATAAAGACCCGCATTTGTGTCTTCCTTGAGTGGTCTTCCTACTCAGGTTTCACCCATATTCGTGTACACTTACTGTTTAATGCTTTTTTAACCATCTCCGTGAACTCTTCCTCGGGAAAGGATGGAACATGTTCTTGTTTGCACCGCTTGCATTTCTGTTTGTAGATCTGTAAACAAAATATATAATAATAATGTTAACACGATCGCAATAATTTTTACAAGATACATTTCGTTAAAAAAAATCAAATTCCAAGAAATGTTCCCATCCCTATAAAAAAAAGTATTTTAAAGCTAATATTGTTCTGATATTTCCAAGTGTGCGAAAACATTATATATCGCCTCGGGTTTTTTTTTTTTTTTGGGGGGGGGGGGGGGGGGGGGGGGGGGGGAGGTCTTTTATTTTTATTCACCTTTCAACGGCACTTGGTGCTCACCTTAGCCACCTCTTGGCCTTTGAGATCGATGACAACGTGTGCTCTGTAAGTACTCCATGATCTGTTGCAGTTCTCACATTTACTCTGACCATATCCCCTCACTCCTTCTCTCGGAAATAGCCCTTCCTCAGACATCACTTCTACTATGATAGCAGCGTAGTCCACAGGCATAATCACAGAAGCGACAGTACTATATGAAAATTGATAATAAAAGTTGTTGATGAATTTCACTGGAAAACAATGCTCAAACTTGTACTTACCTGTTTCTCTCATTAATGTCTGCTTCTTTTGAATTGGTATCAGGATGGACTTTCCTTTTAACTATAAGACCAAAACACTGGACCTACACTACGCTGAACGTCAACTCCACCATATTCTACATCCCATTTGCAACTCTAACCCTAAACCTAAGCTAAAATCCTATTGCAACCTCTAAAACCCAATCCTCTATCGTTGACGAAAGAGAGCACGGATCAACATAGAATACTCGCAATTATAGCCGGAGCAAATATTGTAGGCCTGCATACAGTAAAAAAAATAAACAATATTTTTAGAACAGCTATTAGTATTACCAACGAACACTTATTTTATATACTCACATTGTTTTATTTCGGGTGAAGAACCTCTGCCTTCCTGTTATGTCCCACATTTCCCGTGTATCCAAGAGCTGTTGCACACCAGTCGTTTGTATTTCGATTTGTATTAAGTCTGCATTTCATAGACCACTGAACTCTAACATACGTTCAGTGCAATAAACTTAGGGAAAACCAACTATACATGATTAAATTTCAGTAGC